TGAGGGAGGTCGGGGTGTGTGACCCGGGAGGTGAGGGAGGTCGGGGTGTGTGACCCGGAGGTGAGGGAGGTCGGGGTGTGTGACCCGGGAGGTGAAGGAGGTCGGGGTGTGTGACCCGGGAGGTGAGGGAGGTCAGGGTGTGTGACCCGGGAGGTGAGGGAGGTCGGGGTGTGTGACCCGGGAGGTGAGGAGCCTGGAGTGGATACGTGATTTCTGGGCATGGGTCTGAGGCCCAGGAGAAGCTGTTGGTGCCGGCTCCACACGGGCCTGGCCCCACCCCACCCTGCAGGGCACTTTCCCTGTAGGCCCCTCCCCATGTCACAGGCCCTGCCCTGCCCATTTCCCCCGTGGTGGCCTCCTCTGAGGTCTGCCCCGCTAGCTCGGGTCTCTGTCACCCAGCCACGCAGCGTCCGGGGCTGCTCACCAGGCGGGCTGTCCCCAGGCAGCAGCGACTGCATGGACCACAAAAGCCTGTGGTCCGGTGGGCTCCGAGCAGGCCCGAGGGCTGTGTAGGCAGAGGGCCTCATTCTGGAACTGGAAGTGCAGCGTCCCGAGAGCAGGCCATGCTCTACCGAGCTCCCTGTCCCCTTCCTGCCTCCTGTGGCCCTGCTGTCCCTCATCTTGTGTCACTCGTGTTGCTGGGTGGCATCTTCCAAGACCTCTGTCCTCTAGGCCACAGGTATGGGCTCTGGGGCTGGGAACTGCTGGGCCTGCAGCATGTCCCTCTGGGCTGCTCCCCACACCCCAGCAGCCTCCCCCGAGGTCCAGCAGTGCAGAGGAGTACCGTGGAGAGTTCCAGGCACGAGGAGACGGGCTTGGGGGTGTGGGCGCTGTGGGGAGCACTATAGGAGGAGGGTTTCCTGTCATCGGCCCTGGCCAGGCTTTGAATGTGGCTCCACATTAATTAATTGATACTGCCATATCAATTAACTCTTGAATGCAGGATGGCGAGGGACAGGGGTCTCCTGCCCCGTGCAGTGTCCTTGGCACTGTGTGCTATTGATGCTCCCAGTTGATCCTCCTGGCAACAGGTATAAGCCTCCTGGCCTCAGAGGATGTGTGCTCCAGGAGAGGAGCTATGTGCCTTTCAGAAATGTCCTGTGCAGGTTGGAGGTCTGGGGTGCTCTACAAATGAGCACCTCTGTACACCCCAGTTCACTGCACCCCAGGCCCTGAGAGAGCTCAGAATATCGAGGACACTCTTTGGCCACAGAGGGCATGTAGACAACAGGACTTGAAGTCAGTTCTCCTCTATCCACACCCCAGCTTCTGCAGAGGTGAAGCAGATCTGATGTAGGGGACCAGGGTCTGTGGTTCGCCCCGAGATGAAGTGAGACTCCAAGTCAAGCTGGAGGCAGCATGAGCCTGTCCAGCCACCGTCCTTAGAAAGAGAAGCCAACCGCAGAAATAATGCCAAGCCCCAAGCAAGCGGGGCCGCCCCCGCTTCCGGAGCAGGGGCTTCCAAACCCCTTGGGCTCACAACTTTGTTGAAAACATTTTAAACAAGTTCATTTTAGAGCTATCGGCATGACTGGTGGGTGACCCCACGTGGTTGGCCTCCTCTGAGCGCCGCCCGTGTCTGCAGGGCCACAGGGCCGCAGGCTTGCCGTGGCCTGCCAGCAGCCTGGCACCCTGCCACCCTTGCGTGCGTGGTACACTCCCAGCAAGCACTGTGGTCCCTCCTGCCCCAGAACCTACACCCCCAGGCTCCATTTTCAGGTGTTCCAGTGGTGACAAGGTTCACCAGGATTGCTCCAAACACCACCCAGGGGTCCCTCAGAGGATGGGTTCTGGCAGGCCCCTCCCATCCCGTGTTGATCCCTGGACTCGCGTAATAATTGAGGCTGCCTTCCATGCTCATTTCTCATCTTACCATTAGAGACAGAAGAAGATCGATCCCTGGGCTTCTGCTCTCAGTGATGTCCACAGACCCAGGTGCTGTCCTCAGGGCGTCACCGCCTCTGGAGAAGCCTGGGCTTCTGTGGCTTTGCCCCTCTCTCCACCCTGCTCTCGTTCTCAACAGCCAGGGTAGCAGCAGCAGGAAGCCGATGAGTAAGGGTGAAGTGGTTTCCGGAATGGCAGAACGGCCATGATTCAAGATGTAAGAAAAATAAGACCTCCAGACGGCAGGACCACAGGCACCCTGGACCTCCAGGAGAGTTCGTGTCCTGACCAGTAATTGCAAGAACAGAGCGTTTTCCTTTTTAAGATCATGAGCTTTTGTGTGTGTGTGCCAGTCCTGGGGCTTGAAGTCTCCAGGCCTGGGCACTGCCTCTGAGCTTTTTTGCTCCAGACTGGAGATTCGCCACTTGAGCCACACCGCCACGTCCAGCTTTTTGGTGGCTAATTGGAGATAGGAGTCTCACAGACTTTCCTGTCTGAGATGGCTTTGAACCTCAGTCCTCAGCCTCCTGGGTAGCTAGGATTACAGGAGTGAGGTCACCGGTGCCCAGCTCACTCTGCGCTCTTAGGAGACATCCAAGAAAGAGGAAAAGTCACAAAATACTCTTTACAAGTGGCAAAGAAAATAACCCCAGGCGAGGACTGTGCCGCCAGGTGAGCCCGGGTCAGGCAGGCAGGCCGGCCGGCAGGCAGGCAGGCAGGCCGGCAGGCAGGCAGGCTGGCCTGGGGTGACTGTGGGGAGCCCACTCCCCACTGCTTCCCAGATGGCAAGCCCTGCCTGACTGGTTTATTCTAAAGCCTCACCGTTTTCTGAGGACTGCCTTTCCACGTTACATGATCTTTCGGGAGGACCAGCATGCAGCAGCTACGGTGGCATGCCCCCGCGGGCACCCACACCCGAGCAGCACCGAGAGGCCCCCGCAGGCACCCACGCCTGGCAGCACAGAGGCCCCCGCGGGCACCCACGCCCGAGCAGCACCGAGAGGCCCCCGCGGGCACCCAAGCCTGGCAGCACAGAGGCCCCCGTGGGCACCCACGCCCGAGCAGCACCGGGGCCCCCGTGGGCACCCACGCCCGAGCAGCACCGGGGCCCCCGTGGGCACCCACTCCCGAGCAGCACCGGGGCCCCCGTGGGCACCCACGCCCGAGCAGCACAGAGGCCCCCGCGGGCACCCAAGCCTGGCAGCACAGAGGCCCCCACAGGCACCCATGCCCAAGCAGCACCGGGGCCCCCGTGGGCACCCACGCCCGAGCAGCACAGAGGCCCCCGCGGGCACCCACGCCCAAGCAGCACCGAGAGCCCCCCGTGGGCACCCACGCCTGGCAGCACCGGGGCCCCCGCGGGCACCCACACCTGGCAGTGGCCAGCATTCTCCTGTCAGCCCCTTGCGCCCTCTGTGGGTACCACACAGCCCTCCTGACCCCTCCCTCCCTCCCTCCGCCTCGCTTCAGTCCTTCGAACACCCGTGACTGGACTGGGGTGGACGCATCCTCGCTGGCTATCCCAAGCACCTCCCGTGCAGAGGGCCGGCACACAGACGCGAGTCTGTCTTTGGAGATGCAGGGCGGTGTCCGCACATGTGTCAGGACACGGTGTCTTCAGCCGTCTGCTTTTGGTGGGGTCAGGCTTCCACTCTGAACTCATTTATGGTGAACCCTCACTTGGCAATGTTCAGACTTGGGGTGTAGCTACGGCTCTCACTGGCAGGAAGTTTGTGGGGGAGTTGGGGCCCGCGGGGCGTCTCTGAGGGCGTACTTACACCAGGCCCCTGGGGACCCCTTCCCTGGTCCTGCGTACGGGAGCCGAGCCGTGGCCTCTTCTAACCCCTTGCAGCCCTGATACGGTACATACGCCCGGTGTTCGTGTCCCGGTCCGACCAGGACTCGCGCAGGAAGACTGTGGAGGAGATCAAGAGGCGGGCGCAGTCTGGCACGTGGCCTCAGGTAAGCCGCCCGCCTGCCGCTCAGTCGCTTATTCCAAAAGGTGTGAGCTTTGGGGAAGGGGGTCCGGGGACCAGGCAGGGAGCTCAGGGCCTCGGTGTTATCCAGCACGGGGTTTGTTTCTCGCTTTGGTTCTGGTGAGTGTGTAAGTCAGAGAGTGTGCCCGGGAAGCTGGGTGAGAGCAGTGACCACGTAGGATTCCCCAGTGTGTCAGGTTCCTTGGTCCAAGGTCTGGGTAGAGGCTGGCTGGTCTGTCTGTCTCTCAATCTGGGCTCCTTTCTGAGTGATCTGTGAGCCTGCAAGGTAGCTTCCTGACCCCAACACACCTGCAGCTGTAGGCCACGTTCCCATAGCCACCCCCCTCCCCGCCAGCAGCCCCCGCAGGGCCGCGACGCTGCGTGTCCAGCTCGCCTGCTAAGGTTTTCTTTCTACTGGGCAACTCGTGGCTGCTGGGGCTCTCGGGACTCCCCAGCCCCAGCCGCTCGGGGCACCGTGGGTCTGGTCACGGGCAGCCCGGGAGGCTGGCGGCTTCCAGGGTACCCCGCTTCTGCCCCTACGCCTGCACCCCTCGGGGGTGCTAGCCCACCCTGCCAGACGGGAGGGTCCCCTACTAGGTCCAGACAGGAATGGCGTGAGCTGGGCTGCAGTGCACAGAGCAGTGGCTGAAGCCACCAAGCGTCAGTGTGGATCAGCATGGACGGGGCATCAGTGCACGTCCTCCCTGACCACTGGGCACTGCCCTGCCCAGCCACCCTCCTGCCTGCCTGCCCCGGACCCCCAGTCCTCCTGCCCCCTCCCCCAGTCCTCCTGTCCCCTCCCCCAGTCCTCCTGTCCCCTCCTCCAG